CAGCGAAATTGAGAGGAAAGTACAGCGAGTTCCCCTACACCCCCTGTGCCACACAGGCAGAGTCCCTTACGATAAATAAACCTACACTGACCCATCATTGTCATCCAAAGTCCATAGTTCACATTGGTTCTCTCTCAGTGTTGTACTTTCTTTCACTTTGGTCAAACATATAATGACAAGATTTCACAGTTGTATCATACAGTTTCAGTGCTTTAAAAATCTCTGTGCCCTCTATTTATCCCTTTTCTCTTACCACTGGCAACCACTGATCTTTTTACTGTCTTCAATAAAATGTTTTACCTTTTCCAGAATTATTATGTAGTTGGAATCATACAGCATGCAGCCTTTTCATGTTGGCTTCTTTTACTCTGTAAAATGTATCTGAGGTTCCTCTGTGGTTTTTCATGTCCTGATAGCTCATCTGTTATTAGTGCTAAATGTTATTTCATTGTCTGGATTTACCAATTTATCCACTGACATCCTGAAGGACATTTTGGGTGCTTCACGTTTTGACAATTATGAATAAAGCTGCTATAAACATCTATCCACAGATGTTCATGGAGACATAAGTTTTAACTCCTTTGAGTAAATACCAAGGGCCTTGGTTGCTGGATCATAGACAAAAGTACTGTGGCTGTACCCGTTTACGTTCCCACCAGCAATGAGTGAGAGTTCCCATTGCTCCATATTCTTAACAGCATTTGGTGTTATCAGTGTTTGGAATTTTGTCTGTTCAAATAAGTGTGTAATAATATCTCATTGTACTTTTAATTTGTATTTCCCTAACTACATGTGACATAGAATATCTTCAAATGCTTATTTTCCGTCTATATATCTTCTTTGCTGAGGTGTCTGCTAAGGTCTCTGGCCTATTTTTAATTGGATTTCTATTGTTGAGTTTTAAATGTTTTTTGTGTATTTTGAATAATACTCTTTTATCAGATGTGTCTTTTGCAAATACTCTCTTCTAGTATGTGGCTTGTCTTCTCATTCACTTTACACATCTTTTTATTCAGTTTGTTAACCTAAGATATATCTCTATATATTTGCTTAGTCCCTTTACCTTCTTTCACCCAGCTCCCCAACTGTCCTTCCCTTTGACAGCTGCCCGTCTGTTCCATGTATCTATGCCTCAGGTTCTATTTTGTTCATCAGTTAATTTTGTTCATTAGATTCCACTTACAAGTGAGTGGAATATGGTATTTGTCTCTGTCTGGCCTATTTCACTTAGTATAATAATCATCATGTCCATCCATGCTGTCACCAAAGGTAAGATTTCATTTTCTTTTACAGCCAAGTAGTATTACATTGTATAAAGGTGCCACAGATTTTTTTTATCCACTCATCTACTAATGTACACTTGGGCTGTTTCAGCTCTTGGCTTTTGTAAATAATGCTACAGTGAATATAGGAGTGCATATAACCTTTCAAATTAGTGTGTCAGGTTTCTTCCCAGAAGAAAGAATTGTATTCCCAGAAGTAGAATTGCTTTGTCATAAAGCAGCTGCATTTTTAATTTTTTGGTGCTGCTGTGTACATAGGAGTACATATTTTCTTTCTGATTGGTGTTTCAGGCTTCTTAGGATATATTCCTAGAAGTGAGATCACTGGGACAAATGGCAGTTCAATTTTTAGGTTATTGAGGAAACACCATATTGTTTTTTATAGTGATTGCACCAGTCTGCATTTCCACCAGCAGTGGACTAGAGTCCCCTTTTCTCCACACCCTCGCCAGCACTTGTTGTTGGATGATTTGTTGATGGCAGCCATTCTGGCAGGTGTGAGGTGATACCTCATAGTCATTTTAATTAGCATATTTCTGATAATTAGTGACATTGAGCATTTCTTCATACGTCTCTTGGCCATTTGTATGTCCTGTTTGGAGAGGTGTCTCTTTAGGTCCTCTGCCCATTTTTAATTAGATTTTTGTCTTCCTTTTGTTGACTTGTATGAGTACTCTATAGTTTGGAAATTAACCCCTATCTGATATATCATTGACGAGTATGCTCTTCCATATAGTGGTTTCCTTTCCATTTTGATGGTTGTTTCTTTTGATATGCAGGAGCTTTTTAGTTTAATGTAGTCCCACTTATTAATTTATTTTTCTTTGTTTCTCTTGCCTTAGGCATTGTATCAGTGAAAATTCTGCAGCATGTGACGTCTGAAATTTTGTTGTCTACATTTTCTTCTAAAATTTTTATAGATTCACGAATCACATTTAAGTCTTTTATTCATTTTGAATTTATTCTTGTGTATGGTGTAAATTGGTGGTCCAGTTTCATTTTTTTTGCATGTAGCTGTTTAATTTTCTCAACACCATTATTAAAGAAACTGTCTTTACTCCACTGTATGCTCTTGCCACCTTTGTCAAATATTAATTGAGCATAATGTCTTGGGTCAATTTCTGGGTTCTCTGTTCTCTTCCACTGATCTATATGCCTGTTTTTGTGCCAGTAGCAGCCATTCTGACAGGCATGAGGTGACATCTCATTTTAGTTTTAATCTCTCTGATGATTAGTGACGTTGAGCCTCCTTTCATGTGTCTATTGGCCATCTTTATGTCCTCTTTGGAGAAGTGTTTATTCAGGTCCTTTGTCTGTTTTTAGTTGAATTGTCCATTCTTTTTATACATCCATGCTCAAAGGTCATAGTTTTAAACTCATTATTTTGGTAACACCCATATCAAGAAAAAAATATTTTAATTAAATTAGACATGAAATAGAATCAGAACCATCAATCACTACTGCACTTGAAAGTTCACAGAATCTCCTTCAGAATCTCTACAAAAGTCTCCATCTATCTCCTTAAAAAAAAACTACTTTTTCTCAAGTGTCAGAATTCAAGCTCAATGAGATACATTCTTATTTTTAGGGTTCTTTTCAGGCTAATATTGTAACATGTTAAAAATAATTATTACTCTTGAATTATATATTATTTCATTTGTTTGGGGGTATATATTTAGTTTATTTTTTAATATAATTTGATAGTATTATTTTGTACCTTTAATTACAAAAGTGCAATATTTCAGTTAGATTGTGAGTGTGGTGTGTTCAGTTCGGTAAATGTTCCTTTCTACCTTCTGAGTTAGTCACACATTGAGGCTGGTAAAGCATCAGGGAGGATGGTGCTTTGTCTTACAGCATTATGCTTTATGTCTCAAACAAAATTACTTAACAAAGAAACTTCAGAATATTATGTTTTACAAGTCAGATACACCCTATATTTTATAAAGAGCCACAACATGAGGTGTTCATCTTACCTTATCTGGCCTCCTCTCCACCATGATATTCATTATCTACCATAAGAAGCACACTCACTCACTGATTACACAAACCCTGAGTTGTTGCCACCATGGGGAAGGCAGCAGGCTAGAGATTACATAGGGTCTGTGGACCAGACACCAATCCTCTTCTTCAGGATCTTTAAGTTCAGCAGCAGAAATGTTATTTTTTACATTAAAAAACTATAACAATAATGAAATACCACAACACACCTATTAGAATGGCCAAACTCTAAAACACTGTCACCAAATGCTGGTGGGGATTCATTCAACAAATATATTTATATATTCATTTAACATATATGTTACATATGAATGAATAAACATTTCTGAAGATATTTTTTATATCCAGTTTTTATCTTGACTTGGAATGTTGGAGTGGATGGAATAATCAGATTTTGTTAAGTGTAGGGTTGCCTAAAATAAATGCAGCAAAATAAGAAAACAGTAAAGAATTTTCTCTCTTTTGTGTTCTTTACTCCACCATGAACATAGTTGGAATGACACCTAGAATCATCACAGACTCCTTGACAAAGTGCCTCCAGTGCCTCTGAGAAGAGTCCTACGTGTGTGTCTTTATAAGTATTTTATAAGCATATGTGTTTAGGGATTTTTTTATGGCTTAGTTGCATTTTATTGGTTTTCATTCAGATATATATGTTTTAAAATATATTTTGGTATACTTTATTTATGACTTTATATTAAAGAAGAAGTTACTATGCCCTGGCCGGTTTGGCTCAGCGGTTGGAGTGTCGGCCTGCGGTACAGAGAGACCCAGGTTCGGTTCCCGCTAAGGGCACGTACTTCGGTTGCAGTTTGTCCCCGGCCCTGGTTGGTCGTGCGGGTGGCAGCCACTCGATGTGTCCCTTCACATCGATGTTTCTCTCTCTCTCTCTTCCTCTCTCTCCCTCCCGCTCTATCTGAACAAAAAATGGAAAAATGTCCTCGGGTGAGGATAAAAAACAAAAATAAAAAATAAAGAAGAAGTTACTATAAGCTAAGCTATAGTCCAAAGTTCTCCTAACTGTTTATATATTATTTTAATCCTCACCTGAGGATAGGTTTATTGAGTTTAGAGAGAGTGAGAGAGGGAGAGAAACAGCAACCTGTTGCTTTCTGCATGCTCTCTAACCTGGGATCAAACCAGAAGCCTAGGCATGTGCCCAGACCAGGAATCAAACCCTCAAACTTTTAGTGTGTGGGACGATGCTCCAACCAACTCAGCCACATTTGCCACGGCCTTATAGCTATTCTTAAACCACATATATCCTTTCATTTTGGTACTGGGATCTTTAGCATTTTCTTCCTTAATTATCCTATATCCACACATACAACCTCACTTTTATGGTGGCCTCATGGAAAAGGAACATATATAGAAACCACCATATTAAGGTCAGAAGTTTTGCATGGATAGATTTCTGTGTGGCCTAATGCTTTAGCTATTTCTGCTTGCTCTGAAAAGAGCTCCTCATTTCTATTTTGTGTTCATATTTGCATTCATAAAATATTTTAAGTAAAAGACACTATGCTCACCTCTAAAATTAGTGAATGAGGCGGGCTTTCTTAGTTCCTTGCCAGTTGAGTCTCTTAGTCTGAAACTAGTCAGCAGCATGATCTTCTTATTCTGGAAAATAAGGATTCTCCCCAGTCTGTCTCTTCCCATAGTCACTTGCCATACTCAAGGGCAGAGTGATGCTAACATCTGTGTGATGTGTTACAGCAATTTGGAAGTGTATACAGTATACTTGCTGCCATCTTGAATGTTGGAAACATTGGATTTTTCTCTGTGGCAACTGAACACCAGATTGACAAAAGCCACATTTTCAATCTTGCTGCCCTGGAGAACTGTGAGTTCTGTTATCTTTCATTCAAAACTGAACTTTAAAAAAAAGTCTAACAACTTACTGTAAGTCTCATATAAGGATGATTTAAAGCAATTGTATTTTTATGTAATCCTTAAAGAGAATACTCTGATTCAATTTGAGTGAAATGAAGTTTTTTTAAATCCACTGTTTGAAACAAATCTTCATGCCTCCAGATTAACTGATTACTATAGAAAACATTTCTAAAGATTAGGCTTTCATGACTATTTTAAGAGGTATTAAATTTCAATGAAAAACAGAAAATATAATTAAAATTTAATTAACTGATGTAAAAAGAATTTAAGTTGTTATAGATTTACAATCTGTACCATTTTATATGTAATAAAGACTTGTACATTTATTGCACAGACTTCACATTTTCATCCTGGGCTGATTAAATTTGCAGTGATTTTCTACATGAGAAAAGTACATCATGGTATTTGCTTCAAATCAGTTTTTCCCTTACATGCAGAGTATGATATTTTAACTCTAATAATTTAAGGCTCCCCACTGATATCTTCCAGTAGCATAGCTTTATTATTTTTATTATACCTAATTTTTTATTATCAGTGTATAACCCCATAAGACCAAATTTGTTATGTTTCATTCATAACATAGGGAATCATAATATAAATTTTTATTTTTATATTTTTCTGGCTTATACTTACGCATGAACAGAATGAGATGTTTTAGGGTAATTTCAGAGGACTAAATGCCCAACCATCATGGTTTGGACCTACCCTAGATCCCCTTCACCTCTATTCCACTGTGTCTCAAGAACTAGTTTGGTAATATCACAGAACAAATGTCTTAGGTTAGCAGGTACCTAAAAACCTGACCTGATATTTCTTTCTTTTCAAATTTTATTTATTTTTATTGTTGAGGTTGTTACAGATATCCCGCATTTTCCCCCATTACCCACCTTCATCTGGTTCCCACCCAGCTCAAGGCCTTCACCACACTGTTGTCTGTGTCTGTGGATTATGCATATAAATTCTTTGGTTATTCTTTCTATTCCCCACCCCCACTTTTCTCTGAGATCCATCAGACTGTGCCATACTTCCATGCCGCTGGGCCTACTTTCTTCATTTGTTAATTTTTTTTATTAGCTTCCACATATAAGTGAGATTATATAATACTTGTCTTTCTTTGACAGACTTATTTAGCTTAGCATAATTCCCTCCAGGTTCCTTCATGTGGTCTCAAAGGGTAAAAGATTCTTCTTTTTTTTTTTTTACAGCTGCATAGTATTCCATTGTGTAAATGTATCACAGCTTTTTATCCACTCATCTACTGAGGGACACTTTGGCTGTTTCCAGATCTTAGCTCTTGTAAAAACATGGCTATGAACATAGGGGTGCATATGTTCTTTCTGGTTAGTGTTTTAAAGTTTTTAGGATATATGCCTGGTAGTGAGATCACAATGTCAAACAGCAATTTGATGTTTTATTTTTTGAGGAAACTTCATACTCTTGCTGACAGTGGCTGCACCAATCTACATTCCCTCTAGCAGTGTATGAGGGTGTCCTTTTCTCCACATTTTCACCAGAACTTGTTGTTTATCAATTTGTTGATAATAGACATTCTGACAGGAGTGAAATGATAGATACCTCATAGCCATTTTAATTTGCATCCTCTGATGATTAGTGACTTTGAGCATTTTTTCTTATGTTTTGCATCCATCTGTAAGTCCTTTTTTAAAGAAGTATCTATTTAGGCCGTTTGCCCTTTTTTTTTTATTTATTCATTTTTTTATCCTCACCCAAGGACACTTTTGCATTTATCTTCAGACTGAGCAGGAGGGAGAGAGGGGGGAAGAGAGAAAGAGAAATATCAATGTGAGAGAGACACATAGAGTGCTTGCCACCTACACGACCCCAACCAGGATCTGGGACAAACCATAACCAAGGTAAGTGCCCTTAGCAAGAACCAAACCTGGGACTCTCTGGTCTGTGGGCTGACGTTCTCACTGCTGAGCCAAACTGGCCAGGGCTCTTTGCCCAGATTTTAATTGAATTATTTGTCTTTCTTTGTTGAGTTGTATGAGTTCTTTATATATTTTGGAAATTAACCTCTTATCTGATGTATCATTGGTAAATATGTTCTCTTATACAGTGGGTTCTCTTTGCATTTTGGTGATGGTTTCTTTTGTGAAACTTTAAAATATAGACAACAAAATCTTAGACATCTTATGTAGCAGAATTTTCACAGATACATCTTCTAGGGCAAAAGAAACAAAGAAAGAAATAAACAATTGGGACTACATCAAACTAAAAAGCTGTTCCGATATTTCTTATGTAAAAAACTTTATTAGCACATAAGACATTAGCTTATCAGAAGTGTAATGACCAGAAAACTCCAATGACAGAATTAAAATCTCACTATCTGATTATAATTAGAATTGTCATTAGTCAACATAATGAGTTACAATACTTATTTGTAGATATGAATATACTTAGAAACAAATTGAAACTGGTTTTTATGATTGAGAACCTATTTCTGTATAGCAGCAGAGTCATACAGGTCATGAAAGGTTAAAATTAGTACAGATATAGGTAAAATTAACTAAAACCCTTTCTGGGATAGCTGCTATGGAAAATAGAAAATTTACTAATTTACATTAAAATTATTTCTAATTAAAGTTACAAGGACTTATCTTTAAACCAAAGCCATGTTTTCAGGTGATTTTACAAGTACAATGCTTCAATTAGGCATCAGTTTTATCCATTCTTTTCCATAAATATTTATCAAATTTGACCACTTCTCTTTATCTCTTTCATCACCATTGTCATCCAAGACAATATCCTCTCTCTCCTAACGACTTCTCAATTATTCATTCTACATCAGTTCTTGAACTTTTCCAGTCCGTTCTTCACAGTTCATTCAGAAACTTTTTAATGCATCTCTCAGTGGGCTCTCTCAGTCTCCCTCTTCCTCTCCCTGTCCCTGGACCTTCCCTCTCCCTTCCCCTCTCATCTGGCCTCCTCCCTCGTCCTCTCTTCCTCCTTCTATCTTCCCTCTTAAATTTCTTGATTAGCTTCCATTTCTCCTGAATGAAGACCATTCAGACTAGAACTTTACTTAACAAGGTATTATACTTAACAGTATACCTGGCATGTAGTGAATACCTAATAAATATATGTCAAATGAATGAATATATGAAATATAAATAGACATACCAATCAAAGAAAGATGTTGTTCACAAACAAATCCAAGTAGAATGAGCAGAGATGGCATTACAAATCACTAAAAATGTTGAGAGATCACCAACTAACTAACTATTTGGGGGAGTGGGTATTTGAATTCTTTTCTTACACCATGTACAAAATAAATACCAAACATGTATCAACTTAAGTGCGAGGGGAAAAAAGCATGAAAGTACAAGACAAAATACATTTATTTAATCCTGAGGTGGGAAAATACTCGAAGGACTTTATGTGCAAAATACAAAAACATTTTAAAATGGATATTTTACTACATAAAAATTAAAATGCTTTCAAAGTAAAAAACAAGTGATATTGCAATGCAATTAAAAATTGAGGGGAAATATTTAAAATATATATCAAAACATTCTCTTTATGCTGTAAGAAGCTCTCATAAATAGATTAGAAAAATATGAACATATCAATAAAAGAAAAGGCAGCTTAAAAAATAGAACTACAAAATTATCAAAAAGAACAAAGTATTCAGCTTTAGCAAGAATCAAATAAAAACAAATTCAAAAGAGACATTTTTTTCCTAGCACATTGGCCATTTTGAAAAATAATCTCTGGTGTCCATCAAATTGTGTTGAAATACTGGGTTTTTATTTAGCTTATATGAGTATAGTTGATTCAGAGTTTTTGAAGAGTGCTAAATAGTACATATCAAAAGTTTAAATATGTACTTTGAACCTATTGCTGAATTTAGAAAATCTATGCTAAGAAAATAATGCAAAACAAGAGCACAAATTTATACCCAAAATATCTGTCCCAAAATTTTTTACAATTTTAAACACATGGAAGCAATATCAACATCCAACAATTTAAAAACTATTGATAATTATTGG